CAACATATCCTCTATATAGTATTATTTCTGAAAGCTATAGAATGTGCTTGTTAAAAAGTGCATGCTATTTACAGACTACTTCATGAACTTTCAAGTCAGAATGCTAACACTGGCTTTCAGTCTTTATTTTCATCATGTCTCTATATTTCTTTACTCTCAAATGAACAGTCTTTATTTCAGTGCTCTACCATTATACTGATATAATTCTAATTTTACTGTTATAAATGGTATGTGGGCTGAAGATAGGGCTTCTGTATTTTCTGACTCCCTTCTCTGTTATTTGTTTTGTGACTTGTCCTTTGGAGGGTGAAGAAGTGAGACCCTACATGGCTTTTTAGTGCATGGATGGAGCAGAGACACGTCTATGAACCACTGCCTATGCAAACCGATTACTCGGCAGTATAATTTCTCAGTTTTTAGGAGTAAATGAGTGCTTCTCACTATGGATTTAGCTTGCGCTTCAATTTAGGTAAGTATATTGCTGCAGCAGCCTTGAAACCAGTGCTCTCTGATTGTACCAATTAGTAAATCCTGAACTTTACCACCAGAAAAAGACATAGTTCCACATTTACAAATGCCTGGCTTTGGAGAATTAGAGTAATTATGTCACCAAAACTACCATTGATTTTTCAGATAGACATCTCAATAATTTTGCAAGACTAAAAGCCTTTTCTAAAGCACATGGGTACTTTTCATGGTACGAATAATACATAGGGATGAATACAGTGATTTCATATGTGAGAACATTTAAGGGAGGAGATTTTTTTTTGAACAGAATTTAGATGTGTTTCTGGGCTGAATTCTTGATTATAAATTTCATGTTGGAGGGTTTTGCTGGTGTGAGAACTTCTGACATCTAATTTTTTGGAGGAGGGGATTGAGAATTTACAAAATAGTAAAAAAGCATGTGCTGTTGTTAAAAAAGATTATAATATCATCATAAAATCATAGATGAAAAGAAATTTAATTATCTATATTTTAGTTTAAAAACTCACAGCTGGTTTATGCTCCTCCTTATACCCCAAGCCATTCATCATTGGTGACTAGATTGTATATCCTTAACCAAATATACATTAAAAGATTTCTGTTCACAAATTAAGCCTGAATTGGATTTAGCACATAGAGCTTTTTAGTCAATTATTAAGCTTCTTCAATTTTTCCTTCTAATTGAACATAGGTATGGCTAACAGCATTTTTGTATCAGCAAAATAAATATCAATATTTAAATCTCCCCCAAAAAGCCTGATATTACAGGGATGCCATTCACAATATTACAGATACTTGTTTTTCTCTTAAATTCCAGTGTCATTGTTTCATTTTAGGTAAGAGCCTGAGTACTCATTAACACATTTGTGGAATCAAAGACTTATAAGTTCATATAGCCTACATTTCTTATTTTAGAAATTATATTTTACATGATCTGAAATAATTAGATATTTTAACCAATTATGTTCTAAAATTAATCTCTGTTTCAGATATGTTCTGCTGAGGAATTTGCTATAAATCAATATTTGCTGTCACTGAAGTTTAGGGTATCTTTCAATACTCCTTCCACGTCGTTAAGAATCATTTTGCAGTATGTGTAGTTAGAGAAATACATAGAGAAATATAGTTTGTCTTTCAATATCTCAAAATCATGTTTTTAGTTTCTAGCACAGGGTTTTTAAGCACACACACACGCACACACACACACACGCACGCACACGCGCGCACACACACACACACACACTGCATTACCTTTGGCTCAATGAAAAACACTGAATATATTTAACCTGAAATACTTTTCCAGTCCCAGGGAAACTGTTTCTTGAACTAATTTTATCACTTGTACAAAAGAATTATGTAAACATTATCACTAAGAAGGTCTAGGAAGCCAAAAGAATAAGTGTATAATCAAATTAATGACTGATTATATGCATAAGGATGAGTTTGTATTCATTATTTTCTTTACTGTGACCACATTTCTTTTTCTTGTTTTCCTATTTATCTACATTTCTTCAAACATGACATTTTACTAGCCTTCTGCAACTAAAATATGTTTGGAAAGCTAAAATGTGGAAGGAGGTAATTGTTGGGTAAGACATGGCACTGCTAATGATGTTGATTCTCTGGCTCCAGAGAACTTTGGGATTTTTTATATGGTAAATTTCTGATGCTCCACCTCACAGATTTGAAGCCTGATCTCTTCATTCTATATACAAGAAAAGGAAGCCACTCTACAACAGGCTGAGTAGTCTGGAGCAAAAGGTCATCCAACATTATACATGCTTGCCTGAGACCAAAGCATCGAAAGGAAATCCTCCCCGGCAGTGTTAAGTTGTCTGTTCCCTTCTTGGCATGTGTACACAATTTCTTTAACACTAAGGAGATTTCGATATGGGTACTGAGGGAGGAAGGGGCTTTATAAAGTGAAATGGGGCCTTGAAATTTCTCAAAGATACCTTGAAACAGACAAGGAACAAGTCTATTCTAAATAGTAAGATGGAGCAGGATAGTAATGATGGAGAAGGACAATTTCTTTCTACAGATATAAAACATTGGGTGAAATACAACATAATTTTCATAGTTATTTAAGTGTGGGAGGCACATAATTGGTAAATTAAGTTATTTCACAATCTTTCAAGTGGCAGTGTTGGGCAATGGGAAAACAAAGGAAATTTATCTGTTTTTTCAATAACATGTTATACAAATTTGAGCAAGTCATTTAATTAGGGCTTTGGATTGCTTAATTAGCAAAAATTCATAGCATCCATTTGATTATACTTCAAGTCTTTTGAAATACTAATATTGGATGATTCTGAGTCACAGCTATAGATGTCAAAAGTGCCTACATGGGTACAAGACAAATGATATTCTAACACTGTTAACATAGCAAGTGATGCAAGATTATTGCTGATACCTGATTTTTTCATTATTTGAGCTCTTATTCTCCAAGAGGGTATATTATATTTACAAGGATGATTTCATTCATTTACTCATTTGTTCATTCAAAAATAATTACTGAGTATTCAGTAATTAATAGTAAACTAAAGGGCATGTCTGTGAGGTCTGTCGGTAATTCAGAAACCACTAAGATAAAATTTCAAACCTTCAAAATACTGATCATTTGGTGAATGAAGATATACAACAAAAGCGACAACACAACACATCAGGGGCTATCATAAAAATTGTGCCAACATTTTTATGGGAACTTGGAGGAGTTGCTCCTAACTTGCCTCAGAGAGGCTAGAAGACTCCATACAGGAGATGATCACTGAACTAGATTGACAATGAAGGTGGGGCCACTTCAAACTCTTTTCAATAGACTGAAGATTGCCACAGGAAGGCTTAAAGTTAATTGATGTTTTTTAGAAGATCTTTAGCTTAAACACTTTTCATGGCTACAAAAATATACATTATTGTAAAGTTTTGCTTCTACCATTTTCTTTTGGTATTGGCTTGCTTTCTTGTCATCTTTTACATTACATGGGGAGGGAAGGGAAAATATACTAAATGTAGAGTTGTGGTTAATATCATGACTACTTTCCACTCAATCAATACCACCATTTAAAAAATAATATATCTCCATGTATATGTGTATGAAAAAGTAAAATAAATATATGTAAATTATTATATTTTTAAGACATAACAGAAAAGATAATGGAATATTAATAAGCCCAAGCAGAGAAACCTATACTCAAATTATTTTAAATAGTTGAGTAATTCTAAGGCTTTCCAAGAATACCTAAATACTCAAACATTTTTTTCCTATTATTCTGTTTGTTAGAAGGATTCATTTTCTAGCAGGTGTGAACAAGAAGCAGGTAGCAGGAGAGCTTTGTGCACAGAAAATATTTGAAACAAAATCAGAATTTAATGATCTAGGTCAGTGATTCTCAAACTATAATGTGCTTAAGAACTACCTGAAGAACTTGTTAAAGTAGTAAGCCTGGGGCAGGACTGATTAATTTTCAATTTTTACAAATTCATAGATGATACTGATGCTGTTGGTTAAGAAACACACTTTAAAAATCACTTATCTAGACGAGTGCTTCTGATATTTAGTCTATACAAATCCCCTCAATCTTGTTATATTGAAGATACTTCAGTAGGCCTCAGGTGGTTGGGAGTATTTGCATTTCAAACCAGCTCAAAGGTGATGCTTATTCTGTTCTCCACAGACCCATTGTGGGAAGCAATGATTTAGATGATCCTCTATCATAAGCCCAAGTCGTATAACACAGTCTGGTGATTTCAGAAAATAACAGGTTCAAATAAAGGTTTCTAGTTTATTTCTTGGCCAAATAAGATTGTATCCTTACTAACAAGATCTAATAAATGATCAAAGAATCACTGTTTCTTGTATACAGTATGAATAAATATTATCATTCCATTGAGAGAAGCATTTACTGAGCTCCTGTTTCCTGTATGAAATGACTGTCCTAGTTACTAATTAAGTGGAAAGTGGGTTTCTTCTTTTACTTAGCTTCCATAACTACTCTGAAACCTTAGAAATGAAACAATACCCAGATTGGTCATTTATTAAATTTGTTATGTTTCCCTGATTCTAATAAATTGTATATAAGTAAAGATGGCAAAAGGACTATTCTAATAACTCAAAAAAAAGAAGAATTTTTAAATACTACATCAGGCAAGGAGCATTATCTAGCCCTTTTATTTAACATTTTTATTTAGTTAGACAAAGTCTATTGATATAAAGCAAATTTGAACTAAATCTAGTCATATGAGCTGCAAAATATACTTAATTTTGATGAGATAACAGTTCCTGGTGGATTATATGTGTGTGGGTGTGAGAGAGCCTTACTAATAAGTGTTGGCTGTCTTCAACCCACACTTTCTCAGTAATTGATAATTCTCCATTTCTTCTCTGCTATGTAAACCTTTTAAAAAATAGAATAGTGAAATCATGGTAATAATACATTAAGAAATTTGAAATAGAAATTTCTAACAGAACATTCAAATAAAAAATACAAGGAATAGAATCTATAGTATACATTTTGGACAACTTTGAACGGTTTGAAGAACCCTGGGGATGCATACTTTTTTTTCTCTTATGCCCCTCCCATTCACAAATTTTCAAGTGATATGATACAGTTAAATTCTGTAATTCAGTGACTCGAAATGATGTTTGCATGGTTAGCAGTAAATATCTCTATTCTGCTTATTTATGTATTTATTTACTTGACTGGACTGGAACAAATATGGGTAACTGATTTGAGTATTTGTTAATGCAAATACTAAAGCCATTAGCCATATAATTGTAACAATATTTTAAAGTATTATAATGGTTTTAAGATTTCTTTTTGCCTGGTGTATGTGGCTTTTTATATGATCATTTATGAGGATAAATGATTATCTTTATAATGATAATTTAAAATTAAGTACTTTGTCATTTCTACTCCTTGTTCTCATTTCCAGAGGGCGTTAATTTGTGATCCACTCACCAGGTTGAACTATTACAAGAAAAAGGTTTTACTTGCAGGATGTTTGACTTTTTAAAAAACACCATACTTGTGTCTTTAGGTAGTATCTATCTAAAAAAAAAAAAGGTGCAAAGAATGCGATCTCATAATGTAGATATTTGGGCTAGAGGACCAGTAATTCTTAAAGCCTTTTGAAAATATGATTCTTTATAAATGCTGTGGTCCTTCTTTATAGAAAGTGTTTATGAAGCACACACAAAGAAATTTTAGATACAAAGTAGTGCCTGTTCGCGATCTTCTTGAAGGAAGATTCAGTAACTCTGATCTTGATAATTGAGGTAACGTTAAACAAAATGCCATCTTTTTCCCTCTTTCGTATATAGACATTGAAACCAGATGGATCAATAGACTGTTTTTCTAAATACATCATTTTGTTTTTATTGTGTAAACCTTTCCTTACAAATAAGTCCTTAGACTGATTTGTAACATGGAAGTAAGTGGACATCTGGCTTCTCTGAAAAATATGATTCACTCATTTGCATTTTTAAATTCCATTCATTCCATTTTTAAATTTTTCACTTGTCCTCTTTGCTCTTTCTAAAAGCAACTCTTCTCAACTCTTTTCAATTTCAAATACCTAAAGAATTTATGCTTCTTATAATTCGCAACATTATTCCTTTAAAATTTTTAAATGAAAATAAATATTCAAGATCCACAACATGAGGAAAACCTTGATATGTAGGTGAGTGAGAAGTTATTTTAAGTACAAAAAGAGTTTGGGTGACAGAAATCAATTTACGTCTAGTTATTTCTCATATATTGGTCTTGGATGACTTTGAAATATCTTTCAAAGGTCATTTTTGAAATTTCAAGGGCAAGATACTAGTAAATAATTTATTCTTCAGGTTGGTTATGAGATTCCTTCAAAAAGTATTTTGAGTATATAAGGGTATTTCTGTTAACAATGACATGCTTGAAATAAATTCTGGGATGAAAGAATATAGTGCTGTTTGGTTGTTCATGTATATTATTTATATGAGTAAAAGTTGAAGGTCTAAGAACTTAAATTCTGGAAGATCTATTCATTCATTTCAAGATCCAATCTTTCTTTATAGAGGCAAAACAGAATTTGTAATACTTTCCACAACATTGAACTCTCATAATAACCAAAACAGACTGACTTAGAAATTCCACTCAAACTTTAGATTAGGTTTCTCACAAAGCATTTTATTTATCATCTAAAATAATAGATGCATGTGGAATCCTAATTAAACACATCTAATGTCTTTGAATATTTTCCTCAATATTTCCTCCAGTTGCATGAAATAGTTGGTACAGACAAAACTAGATAATGGAAACAAGGACAACCATGATAGGCAAAGATGAGAGAATGAGAGAAGTTAGTTCATCATGATCTTCCACTGTGAAATTTGAACTCAATTCTGAAAGTACAGCAGAAGATTATGCTTTTCTTAGAATATCAGTAACATGAGTCTTAGGGACATTTTCTTAGAGGGTATGCAGCATGGATGGTAGGGTGGTATAGAAGTGAAACAAATCAAGAAGACCACGTGGTCAAAGTTCTCAAGCTCTGAGCTTGTACGATCTCATTTGTAATTCCTGTGTCATAACTGATATTCTTGTTAATATCATACAATTTAGAAAACACTGGGATGAACATATTGGACTTAAAATTAGGAAAAGTAAGTTTGATTACACTTCCTGGCCTAGATTTCATGACAGCCATTACATTGAACTGAATTTCATTTCCTTAATGGAAATGTGATTTAATTTAGTTGTAATAGAGCACCATGTTGCTCTATTTTTCCCCAGTTTTGGTGCCTAAAATTGGGGAGAAATAGATGATTGTACTAATGATGTGGTTTATAGATATGTTAGAAAATGAGAATTTCCCTTCTTGGGTCAAAGAATTAATAGCTTTTTAAAGAAAACCTGTAGAATTTTATAAGATAGAATCACAGATGCAGATCACTCCTAAAACTAACTACCCTTTGGAGAAGTCAATTCTTAGTTTAGTGTAGCATAATCAGAGAGACTACATCAGTCTCTTGAGACAAGGCAAATTGGTCCCATTAATCATTTCAGAGATGCCTCAGCTTTTCCGTTCTGGGGAGGATGAGGTTACTATCGTCAGGATATCCCTAGATTTTTGAATAGTTGTTACTAGTTTTTCTTGCATTGCATGGAAATTCAGTATGAATGTAGCAATCGTCAGTTCCTTGAAGAACAAGAAGTAGTTCACTTCTCTTTCTCACTGATTCAGCTATAAGAATTCTGCATCTGGAAGCCGGACATATCCTCTCTCTTTAGAAAAAAAAAAGTTACTCTCCTAGTGAGAGAGAGTAAATCTACGGATATAAGTATGTAAGGTGTTGAATGATGATTAGCATGTCATTCGGTTCACTTGATGTGATTAGGAGAAATGAAGGAGCCTTGAAAAACAGCTCTGGAGAGAAGTGTGGACAGCTGTCCAAAGCATTTTGTCTTTCAAACAAACTTTCATAGAATTCTTCACTGAAGAAGATGCTAGAAACTAGTCTCTGAGCATGACTAGATGAGTCTGTGATTAGTAGATTAGGTCAAAGTAGAAATTAGATTTGAGTTGGTAAGGCCATAAAACAAGTGCCGAATCAATCAATCACCCTTTTTTTAGTAAAATTCCAAAAGTGTTTTGGTGGTGGTTTTGGTTCATTCTGTCTTATCTTGTGAGACGGTTAATATCTTCCTCTATTCACTTCATAGGCATGTTTCTTATACCTTCCTATGTTTAGATACACACATATTTACTACTGTGTTACAGTTGCCTATAGTATTTAGTACAGTAATATGCTGTACATGTTTGTAGTTTCAGAGCAACACTCTATGGCATATAGTCCAGGTGAGTAGCAGGGTATACCATCTAGGTTTCTGTAAGTACACATTATGATGTTCCCGTAACAATGAAATTGCCTAATGATGGAGTGCTCTGATCGGATGTCTGTCACTAAAAACATATGACTGTTCTCAATATAATAGCTTAGAGATTTAAGGAGGGAAAAGTACAATCATATAAAAAAATCAACATATAAGCGTTCTATTATGGTTTATGGTGCCTTTCATTTGAAATTATTGTAGCGGTATATGTGAACCCATGTCCTTGATCTCTCTTTACTATAAGTAAAATTGAAGACTAAAGCCTCCATGAAGCCAATATAGAACTCAAAATTATGGGACAATATCTTTACTGGTATAACAAGTCAGTGAAGAGGAGGAAATGAAGACAAAAATTTTCTTCTGAAGTATATTTTCATCAGCCCCTCAGTTTGTTTTGTGTTAAGTAGTTTTTTGTTGAAATAAGACATTTAAAATGCACAAATAAAACGTACAAATTATTAAATACTTTTAAAACATGAACATATCTGTGTAATAGTAAGTTCAAGGAATAGAACATTATTAGCATATAAGAACTTCCCCTTTGTCATATTTTGTCATTATCACTGTCTTGATTCTTTTATCTTCCAATTAGTTTTATGTTGCTGACCTTTATATAAGTAGTACCATATCACATGCACTTTGTTGTACCTTTCTTGTGTTGTACATTTGCAGTTCATTCATTTCCATTGCTGTAGAATATTTCATCACATGAATATACTAAAATTCATTAATCCCGACTTTTGATAGTTATGGGCTGTCTCTAATTGTTAGCTGCTGTTAATTTTCTTGTATGTGTTTTGGGCACAGAATACAGATTTCTGTTGAATATATTTCTAGGAGTGGAAATGCTATGTAATAAGGTATATGTTTCTTCAACGGTGGTAGATTTGATCAAATTATTTTCTGAAGTGGATGTACTGCTTAATGCTTGTACCATCAATGTCTGATGTTGCTGTATATCCTCACCAGGGATTGGTGTTGTCATCCTCTTTAACTTTATCTATTTTGGTGGACATATAGTGATATCTCCTTGTAATTTTAATTTGCACCCTTTGACAACTAATGAAATTTAACCACCTTACCTACATTTATTGGCCATGGATATTACCTTTTGTGAAATATCTGATCAACTCTGTTGCCCATTTCTCTTTTGAGTTGTCTTTTTTCTTCTGGTGGTGTAGTAGTCGGTATATTCTGGATACGTGTTCTTTTGAAACATGTGCCTTGCAAACATCTCTTTCCAGTCTATGGTTTGCCTTTTTCACTTTCTTAATGATGTCTTTGGATGAATATAATCTCCTAATTTTAATGTGGTCTTCCTTAATGGTTAGTGTACTGTGTATACTCTTAAAGATGGCTTTACTTATCCAAGAGCATAACAATATATTCTTATTTTTTGGAAATCTATTTTTACCATTTATTATTTTTATATCTACAAAGCACTTGAATTGATTTGTGTGTATGCCGAAAGGTAAGATCCTTTATATATTTTCCTTTATGTATAACCAATTGGCTCAGCAATATTTAATGAGAAGAAAATTCTTCAGGGCAGTTTCACTTTTGTCATAAAGCAAGTGACTACATATTTGTGCAGATTTATCTTTAGGTTCTCCATGTGTACACTGTCTCCTTTCTCTGTTTATGCACTGTCTTAATTATTATATATTTTATTAAGTCTTGATTTCCGGTAATGTATCTCTGTTGAATTTGTTCTTCTTCAAGATGATCTTGGTTATTCTTATCCCTTTACATTTCCATATGGATTTTAAAATTATCTTGTGGATTTCCATATTTAAAAATATCTGCTAGAATTTTGATTGAATCTAGATATCATTTTTGAAAGAAATGCTATCTTTTCCACATTGTATTCTGTTCAGAAACATGGTAAATCCTTTCATTTGTAGATTTTATAGTGTTTAATTTCTCTCAATTATGTTTTTTGGTTTTACATGTGCAGATCTTACGCATATTTTATTAGTGTTTTTTTCTTTTGGTATTTGCTTTCTTTGGATGCTGTTGCAAATTGTATTTTTTTATAACTTCACTTTCTAATTGTAAGTGGTATATAAAGTATGATTGATTTGTAAATATTGGTCATTCAGTTCCCTTGCTAAACTCATTTATAAATATTAATTGGTTTATTGTAGAAGCCTTTGAATTTTATACACATAGAATTATATCATCTACCAATAATGTAATTTTTTCATTTTTGCTAATCTTTATATCTTTCAGTTATTTTTCTTGCTTAACTCTGTCTAGGTGTTGAACAAAAGAGGCATTAATGGACATCTCTGTCTTTTTCCAACCTTATGGAGTAAGGTTTCTGTGTTTACATATGATACTAATTGTAGATTTTATGTAGATACCTATTAATGTCTATATATACTATCAGGAAGTTTTATCCTGTTTCTAGAAGTGTATTGATTAATTTTGAAACATCTGTGGATTTTCTACTTTAAAAATTCAGTTTCTAATCAACAGCAATAAGATCAGAGAATGCTCTATGATTTTAATTCTCAAAAATGTGTTGAACCTATAACAACATTGACCAAAACATGATCTGTTTTAGCATGTACTCCACATGCACTTGAAAGAATACCAATAAACTTTGAACACAATATTCTAAATAAGTCAGTTACATCATGAGTGTTTACTTTCTTGTTAAAATTATCTGAATCCTTACTGATATTTTGTCCACTTTTATTATTACTTGGAGAAGTATGTTAAAATCTTGTACTATGATTGTTGATTTGTACATTTTCTTTCTATTTCTGTCAAATTCATTTGTTTCATATATTTTGAAGCTGT